GTACGGTGTTGACCATCCTAAAAGTTTTAACCCTTTATTTTTGTTTTCTTTTGCAGAGTTTGGAAGTTTTTATCATAGATCAATCGAAAGCACTATTGAAACAAGGTTTTTTGGTAAGTAAATATAGATTTCTGCTATGAATCAAAGGTATGGTGGTTAGATTTTATTGTATGGTTTTAGATCTGCAATTTTTTTTTAAATGAAATTTTATCTAGTACTTTCGAAAAGCATGAATTTTCATCAATTTAAAGAAAAAAGATTTATCTAAAAGTTGTTTTATTTAAAAAAGAAAAGGTGCCTCTACTTGTTTTATGATTAAGTTGTGACTTGTAAAAAGTTAAATATTATTATTTTTGCAAAAGCTTACTTTGATTTCCAAAGCTTTAGGTTGCAACAAATTTTCTTTAATCTTTTTCTTTTCGTTTTTCAAGCAAAAAATAAGTTCATTTCATTTTTTTCACGAGAAATGAGCAAGGGACATATATGGGTGGGCATTTAGCCTAAAAACCCAACTAAATCGACCGATTCAATCCATCCTAGCCGGATTAAGTCCCTTTTTTGGGTCTTTTTATTAAATCGGGTTAGATCCCTTTTTTGTGAGAAATGGTTGGTTCAAGTTATAGGTACACTACAAAATCCAACTTCACCCTGTAATGACTACTATTATAAATGTGCTTTACAGTTAGGACATCTCTACTATTTTATTTATCATTTTATGAAATATTAATTAGTGAAATCCGGAATAAACTTGTAACGACCCGAGCCTCAGGCTCAGCCATTCTCATAAGGAATCTTCCCTCTTTCATGACTTTCTATCGTGTTCTCAAGATTTTTATATATGAGAGATTTAAATTGAATCATAATACTTATTAGATAAAAACACGTTAACTATGGTATTAAGTTTTTAAGTCTCTCATATGTAGAGATTTTTGGTTCGAATTCTAGAAGACGCGATATAAATTCGTGAGGGATAAGAGGTGTTCAAACTCTCCTAGAACAAACAGTACG